TAAATAACCACGCCAGTGGCAAGAATAAGAACTGTTTTCAGTTAGAACCCAACATCCACCTTTCTTTCCCACAGTTTAACTTCATAGTCGACATAAGATACCCCTTTGTCCATTATAATACTTACACAGAATGCATTATCAAATATGTGAAAGGACGTAGATCTTTGGCTTTAATTGATCTGTACGCATGTCTTTGCTTTGTTCTTTTACCCAACCTGCATTCTACCATACTGTCACTTCCACTAACGGAACGGCTCAATTTCCAGAATCTCGACAATCTTGTAAGAAACGGAAAACGAACTAAGCGTGACCACCTGGTAGTTCTAGAGAACGAGATGGTCATGCTTCTCTACAAATATTGACCTAAACGTAAAATTGCACCGTGGTATGTGACATGCTCGAACCTAACCCCTCTATACATGTAAGTAATTTCAGGCGCACTATTGTTGTGGAACCCATACTGAAATAAGACCCGCGTTTGACACACGTGTAAAAATAGCGCGAGTTACAGGCTACCTGCCGTCAATCAGCGTTATAAAGAACACATTTCCTGTCGCTATTTCCTGCAGATTTAGCCAGGACATTGACAAAACATATGTCACTTATTTTGCCTGCATCAACTTTAGAAATTTAATGGGAATTCTAATGATCTTAAGGAGAGTATGAGTATTAGACTATTTAGTAATGGGTGCTGGGAAACTTCAAACATGAATATAACTTGTGTTTTTTTTTTTATTTTATCAATTTGTGTGTTTTTATTATTTGCTAATTCCTGCGCATATTGTACCCATTATTATTTATGCTTTAAAAGAAAGTTAATACTGAGATTTTTATTTTAAATTTTTAGCTAAGAGCACGAAAATCATCTAATATTAAACGAAAGAGTGTAAAATATTAAAATTCACATCTGGAATCAATCAACATCACATGTTTTGAACAGTATTTTCACTATAAATTTTAAGTGAATAAAACGTTTAATTCAAGTCTAAAATTATTTATGATTTAAAGGACATATACCCATACATCTGTTTTTCACATTCGTTAACATTAACATACAATTCTTTTTCGTTAAAACTCTAGCGATGATACAGTGTCGGTGAGCAGGCAACACATCTAGCTTGATTCCTTGTAACTAGCACAACAATTCCAGGAAGTACAAATCTACCAATTGTGGGTCTTTCATTTGGCCTCAAATGCTATATAAATTATAATTAGATATTTATTAACATGCCAAGATTATCGGATGCTTGCGATTTTCAATTAATTGAAACAAGATCGTGATTTAATAATTTAATTAAATAATGGATAATCGAGACTTTGTTTACTATCGTAACAAAGGTAGCAATGACAATCGAGACTCCTCTTTTCTCAAAACAGACATAACTTCGCTCAGAATGAAGTAATTTGACTGAAATTTTCAATATATTCATTTTTCTTTATCTATTTTAAAACTATTATACCCAGAACTGCCAGATGTTTAACTAAATCTTACATAATGTATCTTTAACAGGTCATACAATTCGTTTTCCGTTTAGACTTATTGATAAGTTAAAGGTTCGCTACACATCGTCCTTAATATCTTTATTACATTACACGACACTGTTTTATTAATATTTTGTGTTGGAATGGAAAATCTTGTCTTTTTTTACTTGCTTTATTGAGGGACTAATATAGAAATTTATTAAACATGCATTATGCAAGAGCTAAATCTGCCTATTGCAGGTCTTTCTGTAGGCCTGAAACGTTTTCTAAAGTATTAATTAGACATTAATTAACTGATCCAGACCATAATCAACTCTAAATGGCATCGCTAGCCTGCGATCTTTAGTGGATTATGAGCCGATTTACTGCATAACTTTCCTTCATGGATTAACGATGAAGTGGATAATCGAGACTATGCTGTTTATCTTACTGACTTTAGTAAAGAAGATCAAGGCTAGTCGGAAACTTCAACCGCTTAGTTCTCGGTTCATAGAGAATCAATTTGAATGAAATTTTCAGCAAATTGCCTTTACATTATCTAGATTTTAACTATTATAGTCAGAACTGCTAACTCGTTATCGAATCTCTCATAATGTAACTTTAAGCAAACTAAACGACCACAGATGAGAAACAAAGTTTGCTGTTCGTCTCGGTACCCGGCTTTGGTCGATTCTTGCACACCAGTACCTATCTATTTGCTTTCCAGTTTCGATATAGTACCTGTTTTAATACAGCCAAAAACTAATTTATCCAGTCGTGTCATTTGTCTTTTCACCGTTTTGAAGATAATTCTTGCCTAGAGTGACTATTTAACGGTCGATGGGGGGGGGGAGGGGCCGAAGGAGAGAAAGCGAGAAATTGGGTTTAACGTTCACTGAAAACAAGCTAGGGGTTTAAGGTCCACTCGACACAAACTAGGTCATTTCGGGACTAACATAATTCGCTTGCAGTGGGAGGAAACCGGAGGGCCCGGAGAAAACTCACGAGGTTAGAGAGGCGACCCTACTCCTTGTCACGTACAACCGGAGAATCGAAACCACGCCAGTTGACTCAATGACAGACTTTAAGATACAGTGCGCACGTGCTAATCATTCAGCCATCCACCCCCCCGTACTACAAAGAAAGTACCAAACTAGAGATGGTATCAGGTGGTAAATACAGAGAAACCATACCGTCTTGTCTCTATGACTACTATAGCACAAGGCAACATCGATTTATATTATTCACACGTAACAAATTTTAGAGATGTTATCAGGTGTTCTTTCTATGATTGGCAAATTGGCAGTTCAGTTGGAATTCAAAATAAAGCAGGAAAATAGAACGTTAAACCCCATATAATTTCATTTAAAGCAACACGCTATATTCTCAAACCTATAGACAGCTAGTTGCTGATTAAAATTTAAAACTTTGTAAGTCCTTAAAACTTGACACCTGGATCTAACTCTGCGTGAGTATTGTAATTAAATAAAATGAAATGGGGTTTAACGTCCTATTACGTTTCTGAATAGAGCATTCTGCACACGGAGATCCATTGACTTCATACTTCGAGAATAAATCTCTGTTCTGAATGACCGCCATATGCTAAAATTAGTATATTGTTTTGTAATGCGTTTCTACTCCGTTTCACATCTGGCATACACACAAAGACTAAATAAACCTACCCATTCAATTCCATTCAATGGACACAATATATACTTAGTGTTTTCGACTAAAATCGTAGATTTAGGACTTAAAATGTCGTTCAACTAGCTTAGTGTCTGTTCTCAAGCGAAGCTAACTGTAGACAGGCAGCCTAAGTTTAGTATATGCACAGAGGGGCTTCGCACAACTTAAGTATTGAATTGTTTTACATGATATGGATGAATGAGCACAGTTTTCCGTTTTGTTCGAAGCGGGGGGGGGGGGGGCTCTGTTGGGCTAATCACCATGTTTATTGATAATTCATGCTTGTGTAAAAAAAAATTAATATCTTTGATCAATTGAGCGCCATTTCTTTCGTTTCCTATTAAAACCAAGCAGTATGTAACTTATACTAAACTACAAATTATACAAACAATATACAGCTGTAGCTTGAGATGTACATTGAGACGTACATTCTATATTTTAATTATCCACTCTCAAGAAACGGTATTATTTTTATTGTTCTAAGGTTTAACATCATACAGGGTACACGAGACGTAAAATGGTGAAGTTAACCTCGCACCAACAACAAGGATATGATATTATTTGTCAGATCAGAAGCTACACAAATAAATAGGACGTCGATTGAAGGGAAAAGCTGGCATCGGTTTTCGACGATCTGGTGTAAGTTGAAGACACGATGTGGGAGGCGGGGATTTCCTCGCTAATTTCTCTCTCATCTATAGATCCAGGGAGGGTGTTCCTTTTCCTCTTGATTACTTTCTTCCACCAATCGCCAGTCTCAGTAAACAGAGATGATATCTCTATAATATCCGAGTGAGCAATACCTCGTTTTCTGGCTATCTGATTTCACGATACCACCATAGTACCATCTTGTATTAAATTCAGCTAATTAAGTTATAACAACGTATATCTTTATACCAAAATTAACACAACAAACTCTGGGAAAGGATCCGAAACGAAAAATACACGATGGGGTTATTTTCAGTCAGATTAATTTAAAATTATTCACATCGATTTCTAAGTTGTTTATTGACTTAAGGGTAGACTAACGAATACCTCGTTTGCAGTTTGCAAAAAATATATAAAACAAGAATCTAACAAATATTTAGGCCTTCACCAATCTGGTAGAATTAGGGCTTGTAACAGATTGTATTTAAAATAATGTCACACCTGTAGGCTTTTTACTTAAACTGGAAACTCGCGGAAGGCTACCTGTCCCCTGGTCCACATCTTTCTCTCCTTAAAACAGGTATAAATACAAATTTGCAATTTATACAAAACGAAAGGCAAAAGTTGATTTATACATGTAATTGGGAAACATCCTCTATTAAAAATATGGACCTGCTATCTGAAATATTTACAAAATGAAAAAAAAATAAACAAAAGTACGCAAAAATAAATAGAAAATATTTTGGATATAATTTTTTTTTCTCATATTATTCTTTTATAACAACAAAATAATAGTTTAAAGGTAGTTAATTAATAGTTATCATTCAAATTATGAGTGTTTCAGTATTTCAAAAATAAAATTCTTCGCATTGGAAGAATTAACATCTACTGAGTAGTGTGCTCATCCCTACTGATTCTGTTCTTTATCTAAGTCTGTCCAGATTCCAATGTCCAGCAGAGATGAAATGAAATACAGCAAATACATACGAGACAGTTTTCTACGAGGGAGGCATAAAGTACAAACACAAAGTCACGAAATAATAACACCGAACCCCCGGCATCGCTTACTTAGGCAATCTTCTTAATCGTTCCCGTCATTTAGCCACAACACGTGATTGGCACCAACACGCTCCGCCCACATTATTCCAGTAGGCAGCCCAACTATTGGATGAGGTTCGTTTCAAGCCTAATTTCATTGAAATGGTGCGTATAGTTTCTGATCATGTAATGACAGTTCCACTTTTTCATCGGTCACTTAGTTTGGAAACAAGATTCGTCTCAGGATTAACGTCCACATTTCAATGAACTTAAACTGGTTTCTGTTGTTGAGATTCAGCGTCTGAGCATTTGGTTAAAATCTATCCAAGGTGTTCGCTTCTCGGTCTGTTTTGACATTTGGTGCTAGTAAGACGAGGGAGAGGAAGAATTTCGAGCTCGTTGGACGTGTGTATATCACTTGGATACAGAGGAAGAAACTCTTAGTGTTTGTGTGAACAATGATGTGTATATAAACGATATAGCGACAGAGTTGGACCACACTAAGGGATTGTGCAATACAAACACCAAACGGTATAACCCGACGTAAATATTGTTATTTTAAGGATATTTTATCAAATCGATTCATCTTTTGAAAATGATGGACTGTGAGATGGACAGAAAGCCTTTGCATATGACTATGTTGACCAGTGTACCTGATCTCGGTCCAATGACAGATTTGGATGATAAACACGATATGAAAGATGATCACCATGATCCGGACAGTGGCGATGAGAGTCCGAGCACCACCACATCCCCAGATTCCCCGTGTGAGAAAACCATGGGCAAGAAACCCGGTGTTGGAGTACGCCGATCGGAAAAGCCACCGTATTCATATATAGCTTTGATTGTAATGGCCATTCAAGCGAACCCAACTAGAAGATGCACCCTGAGCGAAATATACCAATATCTTCAACAAAAGTTTCCATTCTTCCGCGGTACTTACCAGGGCTGGAAGAATTCAGTTCGCCATAACCTGTCTTTAAACGAGTGCTTTATAAAACTACCTAAAGGAATTGGCCGGCCAGGTAAAGGTCACTATTGGACCATTGACCCTGCTGCAGAGTTCATGTTCGAGGAGGGTTCATTCAGACGTCGCCCAAGGGGGTTCCGAAGAAAGTGCCAAGCCATGAAACCGTTCGGAATGTTGAACGGAATGAGTATGAACAGTACGCCACCTATGATGGGTTCACATTATGACTTTTATTCACAAAATTCTGGCATGCCACCTATGAATATGTCCTGTAATACCAACAGTAGTCAACCATACGAAACATCGAATATGACCAACATGGCCAACATGGCGAATATGATTATGCCCAATTCAATGACACAACATATGCCAAATAGTTGTAATTTTAATAACCGCTATGCACCGAGTTGTGCCATGGCCAGTATGTCGAGTGTAAATACTGATTATTCGCACCTGACCACGCCTCAAAATACCCCGACACAGAGTGTTTCCCAGTCCATGTACGACAGAGACCAGCTTAATGCCATGGCTACGTCACAGTGGCAGTATCAACGTTATGTCAAGCAGCAGCCGCTCAGTCCGACAGGTAGCACTGGTTCCATGCACAGTATGTCACCCCCATCCAACACCGATACCCTCCCATACGGCAGCATGCCCCCGGCCTCCAGTACCGATACAGTAGATTTGACATTAGCTGGTAAGTAGTTAGCATTGTAGAAATAATTATTATACATCCTTGTTTGTAAGGAATAGTTTTTAGCATGGTTTGTGTTACATAATTATTTAATAAGTAGAACGGAAGAATTTCTATATACTTTCTTCTATCTGGTTACAATTTATTTGTTTGTAAAATACGTTCATTTCAAATAGCCTTGTTTTAAATAAATGAAATGACATGAAATGGGGTTTAACGTCCTACTGTTGTGCTCCGAACTGGGCTAATGAAGATGGTTGTATTATAGAAGAAAGTAATAAAATATATAATAATAATAATTTATATTAATATTTTAATATAATTCAATAATTTGGATAATACATAACAAATACTGTAAAAATAAATGTTAACTGTCTTTATTCAATACTTTGGATAATTATAATGAATTATAAATATCTATATTGTTTACATGTTTGGTTATCAAATAATATACCATAAAAAGGGGGATATATATTTTAATATACATTTTTGGCACCCACATTAAATAATTTATTTCTGTGTGGGTTTGTTTTATTTTTTGCAAATGAAAAATTACAGTTCTAAATGAGATTGATAGTTAATAAGAATCTAATGGCCTGCCATGTAAAACTACGTGACACATTTCCATTTTTCCGAATTAATATTTTGTCTCGTTAATTAATGAGTGATTAGTTTACGTCATTCACAAATTGTTTACAGATTGCAAGATCATGATTCTTGAATTATGTCAGTTGTCAAGTTAAATTAAGTTAGTTTTGACAGGTTCGGAGTGGGTAAACTTGTAATTGAGAAAGAACTATAGTCTTTTCTTGGTGTGAAACTGTAGTCAAGCCGTAATTCTAGTCGCTATTGCGTGTTCTTACTGCCCGTGGGGCACGGATCGCGTGCAATTAACACGAACAAAAACAACAACTGCAATAATAGATTCCACGTAACTATTTCAAGACTGTGAATTTCTTAAATTGTTACAAGATTTTTGGGTAGAAAGATATACTTGTTTTGCCATGACCATTTTGTTCCTTTCTAGACGCTATGTTTTCTTTCGCATGGGTTTTCAACCCGAGTTTTCGTCTTAGATTTCGCTCTATATAAATGTGATGAAAAGTGAAGCTCTCGTTGAAATCAAATCTAACATATTTTCACACGCCGTAGACTATCAGAGGAATTTTAACGGGGAAATAAGAAAAGATACACGGAATATTTCACCCATTTTTATTTCAACGGTTTTCATCTAGATTTTAGTTTAAAATTTATAGCGGGGTTTCTATTAAGTATTTTTTTTAAAAAATAAGGTTGATCGTTTTTTTACTTGATTAATCTTGGGTGTTCCTTTCCTACATGCAATTAATTTGTAGACAAATAAAAACCGTTTTAATTTAGAATATTGTAGAGTATTGCTCTTTTAACTGGTGTATAATGTGATTTTACAATTACAATAGTGAAATGTTTGTTTGGGAATAAAATTAATTAATAGATGTATTCTAAATAATTTAGAAATTTAACCAATATTCTTTTTTGAATGTATACATATACAAAATAAGGTACTAATAATAATTTACGTGGATATTAAAACTATGTTCGTAGTGTACCCACTTATACCTTATAGATGACGTTGTGTTTGATAAAGAGAGAATACAAAATGCGTGTTAAGGATAAAATCGAGACGAGCCTAAAATACACATATATTTAAAAGGAAAATAATACAAAAATGGTATTTTTACAGGGCAGTTTTAAAATGCAATCACATGAGATATAGAGGAAAAATAAATAATGTATGTACGCAGATAACATGGAAATTACAAATTATGTCTCATTGATATGGGTCAAAATTCCCTATTCATACAATATCACATATCCTTAGAGAGAAAAACTTTGTATATATGGTATTTTATACAAATTAAATCTTTGAATGAATTTGTTAATGCACATCGTTAAATGAGTTGAATGAGTTTTTTGAAACAGGAAGTACGAATTAATGTATAGGATAAAGCTAAGACAGGCTTATCTTGTATTTAAAGTAAAAAGAAAAACTCGAATTCATAGTACAAAAACAAAATGATAAATGTTATTTAGAAAATTATTAATATTGATATTAAATTTACATTTTGTAGGAATTTAATTTTTTGGCGGGAACATGACTCATTTATTTTAGGTCTTTTTTAGAGGTTTTTTTTCGGGGGAGTGGAGGGGGTAGGCGGATATTTTTGTAGGTAAATATTATAAGGTCTCCGTAACACTGGCAATTATTTTATAAAACATTTCATGAATTTATTATCCTGTTGATGCAAATGAAATTGTTTTTCATGTGACGCGTAATAAAGAAATACCACAAATATATCCATATACATTATTAAATAAAACAAATATCATAGACTTGTAAAATAACAAGCTTCACAACAATTGTATGTATATATACACGAATAAAATAATTTCAAAAGGTAATCAATAAAATTCGAAACTTGTATTAAAAAAACAAAAGGTAATAAAATTCGAAACTTAGATTTAAAGAACAAAATTCTCTTTTAAAACGTTTCCTGTTTGTAACGTGAATGTTTTTCGACACAAAACAATACAAATTCCTCTAAGTTTTGGTGAATTGTATAAACTGAAAACAAAAATAGTAGCTCTTTTATATGTTTGGATTTTAAAAAAGCAAGTAACCTTTTTACATGAGCACGAAAATGAAAAAAAATATGATACACCGAACTAGAAATAATAAATTGATCTTATGTGGCTTTGAATCTAAATGTATATATTTTGATCGAATAGATCCTTTTCAAACATAATAAATTTATTTATCTTCTAAGAAAACCCCGAAACATTTGTGGTGTATCTTATACCACAGAACGACACTGCTTTAAATACTACTTGGATTTATGAACATATTTAAAAAGTAAACAATATAAATAGAAAGTCGGTTATAGAAATCTGAGATATGTTTATATCTAACAAACAATTTACTAGTATTTTGTAAAACAACAACAAAAAACAACAGCAGAAAAAAAGAGAACACCAAGAATATCATCTCATACTCTTCTGATAATCTGTTTTTGTAAATTTGTTAAGAAAGGAGCCATATTTTGTTCATTATTTATTGAATATTTTTATTGAAGGAACCCAGAGAATTTTCATTGCAATACAAATTAGTTAGCTATATGAGCTCCTCAAATCTAACATCCATTAGAACATTAAAACTGCAGTGTATTTTATTTTCTAAGGATGCAGTTTCATTTTTTTTGTCTACAGTATTTGTTCTGTGGTATGATTGTAAGAAATCGTCAAACTGTGATTGAAAAGAATTCAGCAAAATTTCTTTAGATTGTAAATTTACCCCAATAAGGAGCTAAAATTTCTGTTCGATATTTAAGAGATTTCGTATCTCTTGCAAACTATAATATTGTGAAAATGGAATCTCTGAAAAGAATATCATTCCAAACATTGTTAAATTCCGTTCAGTATTTTCACAAAGACATTGTGTGTTGAAAATTTGTCAACATTCGGCAGCCCGGGCCAAACTATAATAATGTCACCGAGAACTTTTGGTGAATCTCTTTATAATCCATATATATCCCAGTCGATTCTCTACCGTTGATATTTTTATTTTGTTTTCTTAATTATATATTAAATAATCAATTCGAATACATTTTAACGTGGAATAAGCCGTGGAAAATTTGATATCTTCCGAAACGATACCTTTAATGTATAATCCTTGAGTGGCATTTAACGATTGAGCACATAAAAAAACCCCAAAAAACCCAACAACAAAAAAACACAATTTATATGTAAAACAATCACTGGTTTAGCTTGATAACATAAGAGAATGCTTGTCGAAACGTCGTGCTATATGTCTATAAACCAGTGATTATTTTCCATTTAAATTGTGTTGCGCCTTTAATGTACATACGTAGTTGCAAACATTTTGTCTTATACTGTTTAGTACTGTACATGCACAAGACCTATATTGTCTACATATCTATGGATGTAGTTTTCGTATATTTACGTTTTTTGCAATCGGGGGTGGAATATTTTGATTGTAAATCGAACCCTAATATCTCATAAAATAAAGTAGTTGTCAATTATTTAGTTTATACAGTTTACTAACGTATGTTTACAATATTAATAACCAAGATCTAAACAAAAGGCCGCGTAGTAAACACAGAAGCATATAACCCATCGAGTCGAGGTTTATTTCGTAAGTTTATGTTTTGTGTTTACTCGCGGCATAACAGTGTGATGTCTAGGGAAATAAGATGCGTAAATATTATTCATAAGGGTTACAAGTTTTTCAGACATGGCCGTGAAAGTTTACAAATTTTGCGCGAAGAGCGTTTACTGAAATCAATAAAAGTTTATTTTGACGTAGGGAAATTTCTCTTTAGTCGCTACCTTCTATTTATTTGAGATTATGTTGCTGGGATAGGAAGAATTTATTGTCCCTCAAGTAAAAGAAATAAACTAAGAATGAATACACTAGGAGTTGGATTTGTAAACAATTTATAGTTAGCGATAAATGTAAACACACTCTATTAAACGTATAGACAACGATAATAAGCTTGTATTTCTTTGTGAAAAAAATGTATATTCCCGAAAGCGGATTAAAACTTAACAATTTCCGTTTAGTTAAAATTATTAAATTCATAATAAAAAAATAAATAATTGATTAAAATTACTAATTTTAGTCGACTTTCATAATATGTTAAAATGGCTAAATATTTAATATTCGTGTTTCTTGAATTTACATGTCGAAGAAGAAGAATTGTTTTATTTATATGTCACACTTCCACATTCACAAATAATGAAACTGTACAATGTCAGATCTTTTAGGCCTATGAGACACAATATTTGTGGTAAATCGTTTAAATTCGAAGATGAAAAATAAATAAAGAGTTAAAAGATGTAAACGATAACAGTGTACGATATTATGACCTATAATATAGAGTAATCAGAAGATTAATCAGTGAAAATATCGAAAATAAGAAAACAATAACAGTGTTCTATTATAT